GCCTATAGGGCTGTGGTGAAAGGGGGGGTATTTTGGTGGGGGGGGGTCAGAAAGCCCATAAGGACAGCTGTTGGGGGGAGGTTTTGATATGGGGGTTGGGGGCAGAGGGGAAAATGAGTGGGTTTGTTAAGGTTGCTCGTTGCGTTTTGGGAATGTCCGGGTGGGGTCTTTTGGGGGGAGATTTGTGGGTTTTGTTTGCCCCTTTCCCCCTGTGTCCCGGGTCCCGCTCATTTCATTTCTTCTCGTTCCTCCTTGGTCTCTGTTTCCCTCTCTTTCAGTGTAGTCCTTTCTTCTTGTGTTTCTGTCGCGGGTCGAGGTATGCTCCTTGGGACCCCTTTTGTCCCCAGTCTTCTTTCTCTTGCGAATCCTGATTCGAACCGTTCTTCCTTGAAAGTTACTTGACAGGCCCTACCTTTCCCCTCGCAAACCACCCAAATTCTCTGAAAATTTTCACCTGGGGCATATTGCCCTCCCCCATTTTTTCATGATGCCTTCAATCATTTTTTTCTCCTCCTGTTTTTATTTCTTTAAAGTTGGGGCCCCCTTGGGTTCTTGGAAACCCCTCACAAAAAATGACCTCGCCCTTTCTCTCCCCCTGAGTCTCCCCTTGCGTCCCCTTTAGGGATTTTATTTCCTTCCATTACATGTTCTTGCCTTCAGTCCCCCGTCATATCGAAATTTTTATTCCAGTGGATGTCTTTCCTGGCCAGCTGTCCCTTGACTGCAGTTTGGCTGTTAGAATTCTGCATATAAAAAACCTTCATTGTCTTGAACCTTCGCTTGGGGTGTGTGTGTGTGGGTGTGTTGAGGGGGTGTGTGTGGGTGTGTGTGAGGGTGTGGGTGTGGGTGTTGGTTGGGTGTGTGTGGGTGTGTGTGTGTGTGGGTGTGCGTCCTTTTGGTATGATATTTTGTACGCTGTGTGACAGTCCGTGCGTGGGGCCCTCGTGTTGTATGTGCGCGGCGCGCTAGTGTGGGGGTATTCCCCTTAATATTTTTTTATAACTCTTAAATTGTGACCAGGGTGGGGCGTCAGTGGTTCATTCTTTTAATTTTTCAGACTGTAACCATGTAAAAGGGGTGAAGCGATTCATTACTCTGTAACTTGCCTGATTATGGGCCAATTTTACCCGGAGTTCATTACCCTTTTTAACTAGTTCCTATCTAACTTTGGGGGCCGTCACTGGACCCATTATGTACCTTTGAATTTTTGATACGCCCCAGGAGGGGAGGGGTGATAAAGATATTAAATAAAAGTGTGGTTGTGTGTTGTGTGTTTTTGTGTGTGTGGTGTGTGTGTGTGTGTGGGGTGTGTGTGTGTGTGTGTGTGTGGTGTGTTGACTCAAAATCAATATTTGCACCAATAACTCATTACGTTTTGGGCCGGTGGGAAGTGTAATTGCCCTTTCTCTTTAATTTTTTTATGATTTAGCCAAAGTATAAACGTAAATAACCATTCACAGAATCAAACCTTTTTAACTTGTAAGCTCATTACCTTTTTACCCAGTTCGCTATCAAAACCTTGGGGGCCCAGTCCCTGGCCCATTCGTCCTCTGTAATCTGTAAATACCTTTTTAAATTGTCATGATTTTGACCAACTTAAACCGGAGTTCATTTCTTTGTAAATTGTGAGTTCATTACCTTTTTTAAATTTTGAGTTTATTACCTTTGTAAATTGTGGTTCATTACCTCGTAACTTTCTCAGCTATCAAAACTTTGGAGCCAGTCCTGGACCAATATGTACCTCTGTAAAATTTTGACACCGCCCCCAGGATGGGGTTTGGGGGGCATAATAAACATTTAAATAAAAACATTAGGGGGCAGTAGCCTGAAATAACTCAAGTGGAAGTTATCATTGAATTGAACCTCATGTTTAATGGAGATGTCGAATTCAATTTTAAAGCTCAATATTACCTACTTTGTCTCCTCTCCTCTCCCCTCTCTCTCTCTCTTTATCTTTGTAATTTTTGATAAGGTTAAGACCTCGCCTGTACCTCCATTATATTTATATGTACCATATTATTAACAC